TCAAAGAGCGGTAATTCTCATTATCAGTTTCCATTGTGAGAAAATAGCAGAAGAGATGTTCAGGGGATCAAACCTGTGACTCTGACACAGATGCTGATGTCTGTTGTGTCTTCCTGCTTCTCTGCAGCTGTTCCAATCCCGMTGACCAGACAGTGAAGATGATGGACAACGGACTGGGAACATCCAACTACTTTTCCTTCAACTTGTTTGAGTTCTCTGGGAAGAGCAGTGACRTCTACCTGCACTGTAAAGTGAAGCTGTGTGTGAAGAAGGGCAACACCTGCACCCAGGTATGCTTCTCCCTCCAAATCAACCCACAGATCAGAGCAGCTCAACCCACACAAGAGCTTTTTCTTACATGATCAATAGGCAAAGACAGTGGATTTGAACAACAAGCTGAAGTCTAAAACTTCATCTCTGTGTTTTTGTGTCAGAGCTGCGGAGATAAGAGAAGACGCAGATCTACCAGGGCTAGATATGAAGACGGTAACCCAGCCTTCATCTCCATGGCCTGGACTAAATAGGTAAGACACTGTGCTGTACTGCTGGCAGGTGATGGTGGAGGTGTGGTCACTCTTGTTTTGATGTGGAACGTGACAGTGAGGACAGGAGGGTTTCACTGCTCGACTGAGAACAGAATGAAGAGTGAACAAGTCGGACAAATCACTTCTGTGATTGCTACACCTTGATAGAAAAGACGTGGTCTTCAGACAGCAGYGACTGAAAACTAATCCTAGTTTGTTCTGGCTCTCGTCTCAGGTTGTTTCCATGGCGACTCGGACTGACTGAAAGGCTGTCGACCTCCTGACTGACTCCAGACTCCTGATCAAGAGCCTGGATGTCTGAATCCCTTCGGTTTTAGATTCAACGTCTCCTGAAAAGATCAGCTCAGTTTTGTTTGCTGTGACACCATCCATACTAACAAACAGTTGTGCATGGACAGATTCAGTCCGCTGTAGTTTGTGAGGTTGATTGAGTCGAGCTAGGAGCAGCAAACGACCTGATGAAACAACAGGTAACATGAAGTGTCAGAACGTGTAGCTTCATCAGAACATTYATAATAAGCTGAGCTGATCTTTGACGGAGCGTCTCTCAGCTCCATGCGTTGCTGTAGCTTCCTCAGTCATTTACACTTGACACGGAGCAGACGGCCAGCACCATCACAACAGAGTTTGTGCGAATGAGGCTCAGTGCTCATGTTTGATAACACACATCAGTGCCCAGACTGGGGAAAAGCCACAGTACACCTCCATCATTCAGCCCCTCCAGGATCTCACACACTCTTCTGACATTATTGAGGCTCAAAACATGAGCCATTTTTCTGCAGTAAAACATTCTCAAAGAAACTGAGTGCTGACAGATGATGAATGAACTCCTGGAGAGACTGACTTAAAACATATTTTAACACGGTGAGGGGAAATGTATTATAACCAATTTATTTTCATCTATCTTACATGTACACTCCTAGAACACAACCATTAATATCACAATATTTGGATAGAGGACTGTTAACAGTGTTAAATGAACACTGGGTCATCTGGGTGCAAATGAACCTAAAATAAATACACTACAAGTTTCAGCAATGTATGAAAAGTATAAGTGGTAAAAGTACTTCATATAGTTAGAGTATGCAAGTAGCAGTACATAATGTAGTTACAGTGACACAGTCAGAGTACTTCCACAGTACACTCATTGTGTAGTAAAGTGTCCTGCGACTGATCTCTGATCAGATCATTGATCCTGAGTTGTCAACACTTCAACATGTTGCTGATGTAGTTGCCTTAAACTACTTTACATAAACTGGGATAGTTCAGTCCACTGGTTCCCATCTTAAAGGTCCAGTGTATAAGATTTAGGTGAAAGGGATTTTTGGCAGAAATTGAGTATTAAACAATTCTAGTGATGTTTTCACTGGTGTGTTTCATCTAAATTGTATGAATTGTGGTTTTCTTTACCATAGAATGGATTCTTTATATCTAATAACTTTATATTTACATGAAGGGGGGTCCTCTCTGTGGAGGCCACCATGTTTTTTACTGTCGTCCAAACTGGACAAACTAAAACCTTTTGAGTTTTCATGACAACTGAAGTTCACCACAGATTCTCCTTCATGTTGGGAAGTAGAGGATGAGATGAGGAGAATTCAGCTGCAACATGACACTTCACCTCTAGATGTCACTAAATTCTACACACTGAAACTTTAAAACACATATCACATGATCACTCACATACACTGAGCATGCGTGAGTCAGTGTAAACAGGAGGCCTTTGGTTGTTAGTTGCAGAAAGAGCTAGGTTACAATCCCAAAGCAGAAATGGCAAAAAGTAAGAGTAATTGCATCATTGTTAAGAACAGAATTTAATTGCACAACAGCTGTAAGCAAAGAGAACGGGGTCAACAGCGCTTGTAATTGATTATACATGTTGTGTTGCACACTGGTAGCTTACGCTAATGCTGGTTGTTTTCTTCTGGAAGCAGGTCATGTGATGGGAGCCTGACAAATCAGCAAAGGCTACGTGCAGACTTAAACACTGCCCCAGAGTTTTCCAACTAAAACGGGACCATGAGCATTTCCAAACTTCTCCATTTGAGAAGCTCTAAAACTCTGGACTAATGTGGACGGTTGACGTATCTGTAGCAGAGTTGATGTGTTTTTAAATTCAATGATTATCTCTCTTGCACAATGATAAGTGTAACTCTACCAAACTCTTGTCCTTTTATTGTGTTTTTGTTTGTTGAAGCATCTAAAAAGTATGTGACTGTGACTAAAGACACCAGCATCTGATGGGCACAGCGAGTCAACAGGAAAACAAAAGACACAAACACAATGATATAAAAAAATTATTATTTTATTATAAATCAAGAGCCAACACACATAAAACATCAATTATACTGATCCTGCTTCCGCAGTGACACTGTGATGTTATGTGGGAGAATCACTTAACAACAATGGCAATACAACGCTACAGAGCATACAATGAATCTGAGAGCTCAGCATGTGTGTATGTGTGTGTGTGAAGAATTGGTTGATGTCAATAGGGCTAGATATCAGCACTGATCTCCCATTTTGTTTTAATTTGATCCTTAATGATTCAATCACATGTGAATGCCGATGTTGCGCTTCTCAGAATTTCCCCTAACAAAAACTTTTACATCCAACAAGGGAATAATATTGTTGGCAAATACAAAAGAACTAAAACATGTTATTCAATATTGTCTAGGTCTGCAGTTGCAACAGTTTTGAGCAGAATGATAATAAAAAAAATAAGGTATTTCAAAGGTGTCATCATTAGCATATTCTTAAAAAGAAATATGCTACTAGTGGACTGCACATGAATGAATGCTGTGTGTCTGTTCACTACTTCCGTCTTATTCAATTTTGTTTTCACAAGACATCAGCCTGATATCTGCAGGTAGCTATAGGCCAGGGTTCAGTACGGCAGGGCTGGTTTAAGTCCACACACTGCTAAGTCAGAGATAACATTTCTTCATCAAAAACACAAACCAAGAGCTCAGTTCAGGGTGTTTTCTTTTTCAGTATCTTTAAAACCTCTAGGTCTGCTACATCCTGTCCTGTCTTGACTGAGAGCGATTCATGTATCACAAATTCAACGCACAACATTTAGCGCAGATGTATGTACTTGCTGAGAAAAGGAGGAAATGCAAAGATCAGTCTCAGTGGGAATTGAACTTGGATCATTCATATAAAAAATCACAATCAAATAGAAAGTCTCCCAGCCCAAGTCATGAGGATCAAAGCTGGGTGAGATGCTGTAGTTGTGTAAGTTTGTGTCTTCCAGTAATTATGCTCTATAAAAGGAGAACCCACATGAGTAACAGTATGAGTGTTTCACTGTTGCAAGGCTGGTACGATGGTTCCAGTGCAGGGTCCAAAGCCCACCCTATATCCATTTCCTTGACAGTAACCTAGACAGAGGCAGATATGGAAAGTTGTAATAATCAGAAACATGAGATCATGGACATTATCGTTCATTAGACTCTTTATGCCTCTGAAGGATGCTTCCAAACCAATAAAAGAAAACTAAAAGAGTACTTTTGTACGCTCTGAATTGGAAACAATCTACCACCATAAAATCGCATCTAAAATATACACAACTCCACTAATGAGGATGCAAAACATGAACATAGCTTTGACCAAAATGGAAAATAAAGCTCACAAGTTTACATTGTTTTGGTTACTGTGGAAGTGTTCTACTGGCATTGAAGAATAAAACCTATAGTTATTATAAGCTTGTATTGATGAATCCACAGATTAGGAAATGACATGGACAAAGGTTCCCATCCTAAACTGAACCATGGAATGCCCATGGTCACACAAAAGTGGATTCATTCTGGGGATTTTATGGATAGTGGATAGTTTCCTCAGAGATGAGATTTCAGATAAAATAATCAGAGGGGCTTCAGGAAGGTGGTGTTGGACATATTTAAGTTGTGACCATGGGTGGTGACCTGTTGTCATAAGTTGGTGCTACTTCATTTAAAAGCTGCATTTAAGACCTTTTGCAAAGTCCAGTGTATTCATAATGAGGGGTTACTACACAGCCTATGAAAACAGTTTTAGTAGCTGTAAAAGAAACATTGAAAAATATGAGAACATCATCTCAACGATTCTCTGCTCGGGTTTGAGAATATAGTTTGACAGGTAGTTTATAAAAAGCATCACTGTTAATGTTTCCCAGTGCAGAAGCTTCAGTCTGACCTGTGATGCTGACTTCATCTCCATCCTTCAGGAAGGTTCGGCTCTCTCCTCCATCCAGATTGATACTCTTAGATCCCCGCCATGACAGCTCCAGCATGGAGCCAAAACTCTCTTCATCCTGTTGGGTGATAGAGCATTGCACACTAGAAATATACTGCACATAGAAAACACAGGACAAAGGTCGACCAAAATTCTTCCTTTGTTAGAGATGTTTGTGAAACTGCAGGAAACTGCTCAAAATTGCAGCTTTAAATATAAATATAAAAATATAAAACCCTGGCGTGTATTTCATTACTGCAACTTTGGAAATAGAAAGCTGTTGTATGTTACTTGTAGAACTTGAAAAAAAAGAAAAAGCTATTTTTTTATTTATAATTAAGTGCCACAAAAAATATGGATCAATGCGGTGTTGACCTTAGAAGTACAAGTTACATGTTGTTTTACAGGAGGAAAAGGGCAGAGACAGAGACAACAATACAAAAAAGAAAGGAGATACAATTTTCAACCTCATAAAAAATTGGCATAAAAACAAATGGTCTGACAGCCTTGGTTCCTCAGGGAGTCTTACAACATGTCCAATAGAATAAACAGTTTCATCCACTGATCATACTATACATGCAGACTTACAGGTCCGCTGATAGTACCAGAAGCCAGCAGGTCTCCTGCTCTGACATTGCAGCCAGTGACTGTGTGATGGGTGAGCTGCTGTTTCATGGTCCAGTACATGTACTAGAGACCAGGAGAGAGACAGAGAGAGAAAAATAGACTTATGACCTCTAGCAACAAGCTGTGACCCGAGGCTCTGAGGACAACTATGACACTGATTAGAGTACATAGCTCCACCAAGGTCCAACAGTGGATGGGTTGTAGAAGAAGCCATTACATTTTTTTGTGCAGATCAGTATATTTGTTTTTATCAAACTGATGTATGCTAAAGTGTTGATTTTTCCACTAAGTTTGGTTTAAGTTACTTATTTGATGCTATAAAGACGGGTTTATACAGTTGAGACCGATTGGTTGCGATTGGTTGAGCGTGTATCCACAGGACTTCAAAGTTGTGGCTCCGCCCCCCGAACACCACTACGCAGACTCTGACTCCAAATTACATCAAAAGCAGAAAATGGCAGCACCCTGTCTGGGATATTTTGCCTTCCCTTTTTCTTTTTAAATGGGAGGAAGTGGAGATGCAACATGTTTCCAGCTGTAATGATATGGATAATGTCCTTATATTTTCACTGTGAAAATGTCCCTGCGTAAGTGTGCGTCCCTATGCCCACTTACAGGACCACCCTCATGATTACGAAAGTTTACTATTTCATGTCATTTCCTTTAATTACAGAGAAATGATTCACTGTCATGACAATCTTTGCATTTCTAAGTTGGAGGTTCTAAGTTTTTTGGATTAGTTGTTGTCGGAGGCTGGATAAAATTTTCTTGAGGTTGTATTTGGCTCACAGGCCGGAGGTTCCCTAACCCTGGTGTAAAAGTAGCCAGATGTTTTAGTTCATGGAAGTCAGATTAGCCGTATGTTCATTTGATAACTGATAATGAATGTATTGGTTAGTTGTAGCCCTACTTAATGTTTTAATAACACAAACAACTCTGTGCGCTACAAACGTAGCCTATGGCTCTCCTTTTGCTAACTAGCCCCTAAAACATTGTGCTGCATAACATATACATTGGTGCACTGTATAGTTGGTGTTGTATATAATACTGTGATATCTTCATAATTGTCTGCTTCCTACAACAGACATGTTGTAAGAGATTATCAGACTCAGTATTATTCTTACCTTAAAGTTTGACTTGCAGATGGTTGTTGATTCTGCCATGTCCTGTCCTAAAAGAGGAAATTACAAAAATTACAACCACTTCATAAAATAACACATGTACAGTGATCCTGACATGAAACAGTGAGATATAGTGAAAGATGAATAAAAGCTTTGCATATGATTAGTACCACATCAACTGTGGTGGAAGGTAATAAGGCCCATTCACATAAGCACAGTACAGTCTTGAGGTACTTGTACCTTATAGAATTTCCATACTTCCACTCCTTCTAACATGTACTTTGTATTCACAGTATTTATCTGAGAACGCAAACCTGCTAAACTTATGTGTTCATCCCGCAGCAATCATAAACCAACAATATACAAAAAACACTGGCGGGGCCATGCTTCTACACAATGAGTTGATTTTTTGGTATATTTAAAAATGACACAAGCTTGCTTAAGGAGAATGTTGGATGCATTTAGAAGCCCTAAAATGCTGCATCCTACATCCACACATTTTGTGTGGGAGGGATGGAAAACCCTCTGAGGTGTGAGTGGAAAGTTCAGGTAGTAAAATATTAAACAACATGAGAGAGGGATGGTAAAAGTTGTACAGAGAGAAAGGTGGGTGAGAGGAAGAGGAAGAGGAAGTTCTCACAACAGAACTTAATGACTACTCATTAACATAGATCACCTCAGGACTTTTACTGCTAAGCAGTGTGTTTTGTGTGTGTGCGTGGATGTGTGTGGCGACCCAAGTACACGGTGAAACCATTACATTTGATTTGATTATAATCACTTTGTGTATTGTACCTTTGAGTGACACAAACAGGTTAATGTTAAAAGTGTAAGGGTCATGGTGTTGAAGGTAGGGGAGAGGCTCTGGATCCTGCAGATAGAGGAAAAACAGAGACAAAATATTTCAAATTAAAAAAATCATTACAGCCTCATGGGGAGGCTCTAATGTTCACGGCGCACACTCACACCAAATGCAGAAAGAAAGAAAAAACAGATTGTTTGTGATTAAATCCACACTAGTGAGACATACAATGTTGTGTTTTTTCTAAGAGTGGCACCAGGGGTCTTTAAAGAAACGGTTCTTAGGCACTCTGCTCACCTTAAGGTTGTCAGTCAGCTCTTGATGTTCTCCTGCAGTAAGTTAATACCCCCCCTGCATTGATGGCCTCCCATTTTGCTTTTTCTGATGCTCCAGGACAGTTTACTTTTAGTTTGTTTTGTAAAGATTTCTTCTCCCTTGTGGGTTTTCCTGGCTGAGTGGGCTCACTAGCCTCTTCTGCTACTGCCTCTGTAATTGACATAACTTCCTCAGATACAGGGGGACTGATGTCTTCCGACTTTGGGTTGAGTCTGGTCACTGGACTTCACGTGACTGACTTGATTGACTTCTTAGAAAGTACTGATCAATGCGAGATCCCTGCTCTCTTCTGATCAAGAACTTCTTCTTTCCTTGGTGTATTTTTAGGCCCTTTGATGATGTCATTTTCCTTCAGCCACAGGGACACACCTGGAGCTTCTTGTATGATTCTGTCGTGTTATCTTCTTGAATTGTGCTTGCTTCCTCTTTGTTGTTTCCATATCAGGGTCATAAGCCATGTGGTCTGTTAGTGAGTCGTCTTCCGCCTCCACTCTCGTCGACTCTGAGGGTATTTTTTGTTTCGTTTCTTTTTTGCCATTAGTGGGTGTCTCCGAATTCCAATTCATATTGGATCCTGCTAGCATTGGTAGCTAACCCATGCCAGCCATGATGGGGTCTATTCCCTCCAGTCAGCTGTCTTTCCTTGCGGCCAGAAGAGCTTTTCTTTGTTGTCAGCTATTCTGTTCATAGCGGTCACTAAATGCATCCAGCTACAATCATTTAGAATATAGGACGACATGTTGAATATCCCTTGTACATTTGAAAGAAAAGAAACACCATAAAAATGAAGGTTGTCCCACTGTAAGAAACATAGTGTGTGTGTACAACCATCAAGTAAACTACGTTTGAGTATTCATGGTAGGTCTGTGTCAGTTTCTTTTATTTCCTGAGTGAGTGTCAGACAAAAAACACAGAACAGAAGAGCAATTGATAATTATCGATGTCATTTAGGTTTGTTAAAACAACTTAAAAAATCTCAAATGTAAAAGCCCTATTATGGAACTAGAATTAGTGGTGATACATGTGATACCTCTGACAACCCAGCGGAAGTTTACATCATGTCTGTGAATGTCATTGTCATGAATGTAAATTTGTTAATTTCTTTCATTCTTGGGTTATTGCTAAAAATATCTATTGTGTGTGTGTGTATGTAATTAATGCATTTTGCCTTTATTGACAGGACAGTATGTGTAGAATAGGGACAGAAAATGAAAGAAGACAGAGCTGGGTTGGACCCGAACCCACTGCCTCTAGGTTTTCCGAAATCATGTTCACAAAACGTGGTCATGAGTTTGAAATTTGAAGAAATTTCCTCGAAGCAGTCCTGAGATATCACAAAAAATGTAATTTGTAAAATCACAGCAACCTTTACCTTGACGTGGGTCTACATCATGGTGTGGTACAGAATTGAGTATGGTGACTGTTTACTGGTGTATAAGTTGTGACCCTTGCACTAACCTGGATAGGGTTGCACTCTGCGAAAGGTAACAGTGCCTCCATGGGGACAACCCAGGGTGAGATCGTTGTCCCAAAGTTCTTGCCCAAGAATGGACCCAGAGGAACATACTCCCATGCCTGGATGTCCCTGGCTGAGAAGGAACAAAAACATTATAGCAAAAGGTTATTGTGACAAGATCGGGGAAAAGTTTGGTTTCACAGAAACAGAATCTAAAACACTAGTTGGTATTAAAAGAATATATACTTGACTACGGAATTTGATAAAACTGATTGAGTTACATTTCAGAATTCTCATATGAATTACCTCGGGGGTTAAATTGAATACCTTGATGTTAGTATCTTCACGCCTAATGAAGCACCAGTGAGATAATCTTCAACTGCAGGAGTTTTAATGCTCGTCTACTGTGCTCACACATGGGTCCCTGATTCCCCTCACCCACTGTGATCCTCTAACAAGTGACAAGTGTTAAACTGCTGTGCACCACTGGATGCAGAGCGGGGAGGGGGGGGGGGGCATTTAATTTAGCATGTAGTTGCATGGTAGAAATTTTGGACGGTTTTGTGGAACTCTGCACAAATTGATCTCCTGAGGGCTTCAGCAGAAAAAGTTCACATTTAAGCTGCATGTTCAGCAAGAATGTGACAGGCTGAAAAATCTCCAACACTGTAATGCAGTAAGAAGAAATAAAAAACTAACTCTGAAATATAGCTGTGCACCCTGATGATCGACAGA